AAAAGTTTTGGGGCTTGGCACATTTTAATGAAGGAATAGTTTGAACATGTCATCCTTCACGCGTAGAACTGTAGAAGGCTGGAAAAAGGATTTTGGGATATTCTAGCACCAGAATGGTAACTGAGTACACCAACAAGTCCACAAAATGCAATGCCAAGATTGATATTAGTAACAAAGAGTTTACTTACTTAGCCCCTCTTTATTTCAGGTAAAAATCAAAATTTCAATAAATTTTATTAAAAGTTAATAAGATATACGATCGGAAAATTGTGAATCCCGTAAAATCTATAATTAAAATTTAATTGTTAACATTAACTCAAATTTTAATCAACTTTTTCAATTGAACCAACAAAGGACATCTTCAATTTATAACTAAAAATGAAGTTTATTTTATACATTTTATTTGATACAATGCATCAAATTTAATATGATTTTCTTTTTTAGTCGTGATGGGTCTACCATTCTGATTGCTCACTGACAATTTGAAAATTCGACCTTGAACATACAAGAAGTTTTTATATGAGAATTGTATTCTCCATTTTTGTATGATTTAAGTTAATAGAAGTTTCACTTTTAGGCTCAAGAAAAAAATCTCCATTGCTTATCATTAATAAAATAATCCAATGTATCCAAACAACATAATTCAGCGTGTTAAATATGTGAAAAGTCGAACCACTTTCATCTATCTAAAACTTCAAAAAGTGACAAACATTATATTATATTATATTAATTCTTAAGCATAGAAGATGATAAAATTTTCAAGATTGAATCCACACTCTTTGTTGACAAAAAGGAGGTAGGGCCAAGTTTATTTTTAAGGGTACATCTTGATTTGCTTAAGCATAATCAGGTTTGATAAGTGGGGGTAAACATCATTTGTACCAATGCTGACCACAGTAATAAATTAATTATAACCACTTTTTTCAGTGGTTGAAAGAATTTTTGCACATTTCATGATTTGACTCGGTGGCCTGTTAACTTCTAGGAAGTAATGATTCACAAATTCTACACAAATGGTAAAAAACTATTATTCCAGATTCATTTACAACTTTGAACAATAATGACAATTTTTATTTTACTAGAACAAAAAAGAAAAGATATTAATAATTGTCTGTGTTTACCACAGAATTAAAAAAAATAAAAGATTAAAGCTTTATTCACTTTATCCATTCAACAATGTTACCAAAAATAAAAATAAAAATTCACGTATCTATTCATTTTACCGTAAAATGGCGTCAACACCTAATAAAGGATGGTACTTAATGCGAATAGGTTGTTAGATTTTTGATGATTTACTGTCAGTAAATTTCTTTGGGGGAAAAAAATTAATGGGAGCGGATGCCTGATGGGCTACACCATAATTTAATGGCAATGTCAGACTTCAATCATGAGCCTACAATATATGAAGGGTTTCTCAGATGGCCACTGCCCTAATAATTCTTGCCCTACAAACTGTGTGTTTTGTGTGTGTTTTTTGAACAAGAAGAAAGATATCTGGATTTGAACATTCAAACTGAAAAGGCAATAAAACGATTGTTACTAGGGTAAACTTTCCAGCTAACTTTTATTCTTGGTTGAAAATCAAAGGAGAAAGCTCCATTTCTCCTTTTCATGATCTTGACCGTTGAGCTGCGAAGCAGGTGATCAAGAACTTGTAAGAGACAAAATCTTAAAATTAAACTAGCTAGTCAGATAAAATTTTCCTAGGAAAAGAATAATTGATTCACACACAAAATCCGCAAAAGTAGGGTTCCAGTACCTGGCAGAAATTTTATTCCATTCTTTACTTTCTATTCATCTGATTCTGAAGCTTTTTGCCCCAAGATTTGCTGCAAAACACAGATCCAAACGAAACCAAAAACATATACAAACAGGCACCATATGTTTAATTCGAGGAACACTTTAACGCCAAGAAAGTTAACACATACAAAAATGGAGCATCTGAAATAGATTAACATGCATGGCAAAAAGGTTTAAAAAATTTGCACAAATTTATGGCAAGGGGGTCGTTACCTTGGTCTGTGTACAGTTGAAAACAAGAGAGTGTGTGTCACAAGGGTTTTACAAAAAGAATTCAACAGAACTCAGTTGGCAGTATGCCCACCTCCATATATGATATCAGATTAAAATTTCTTAATCCTTTCTTAATAGGAATGGAGGTGGACAGAATGCCAATAAATTCTGTAGGAAACCCTTTGATAAACCGCCATGACCTAATCAAGAACACACCAAATTACCATTGAAATTACTCACGCCCACACAAAAGAGGGGCATGTGCAGAGGAAAGGGATGGATTATTAGCACCAAGTATGAGGGATAAGAAGGAGGGCAGTTGAGCACTATTTAAAATGAAAGATGAGGCCACCACAGTAAATAAGAGAGAGAAAGTTGAAGAGACGTAAATAATGAATAGGGGTGGTTTCTGAAGAAGGTAATAATCAGATTGGATGGTTCATTCTTGGGGAAAATTAACAAGAAAAGAATCAAAGATTCATCATAGTAATTCTTGCCCCCAAAAACCCTTACCATCTCGTTTGTGATGAAAAGAAAAGAAAAATACACTCATATCATATCTCCCCACCATCAGTCTCTTCTTTGCCTTTCTCGTACCCTCGTTTGTGACGAAGACACAGTCAGATTTCTCCATCTCTTCTTTCTTCTCTCCGTAAAAGTGACAGAACCAGAAAACCTCGATAAAGGGGATAAAAAGGATTTAGGTTTTGGTGTAACCATCAAAGGAGGGCTTGTTGTGTTCTGACCAAAACGACAAAACTGGGAACAGAAATTAGTTTCGGCTTGAAAAAGGGGGCCTTTCCTACCGAGGACATTGCAAACATCGACTCGAACTTTAAGAGCTCTCAAATTTTAGTCATCTTAAGTTTTAATTATATCGATTTGGTTTGTGAATTTTGTAATTGGTTTCATTTGAGTCTAATTTCTAACATTCTAATTTATGAAGAAGACAGACTTTTATTTGTTGACGAGTGCAATCGTTAGAATTCTTGCCAACATCTTGTATAATGATCTTGAGAAATCTATAAAACATATGATTATTCTGTTGGCCGTTGGAGATGGATGGAGTATTATATTTCACTTCAACGATCAAATTAATTTACTACTTTAAAATTATTCTATTCGATTAACAATAGTTGATATTATCTCGTTTAATGAAATTGTAAATTTTTTTAGATAAAGAGATGAGACATAGTGGTATGTTGCGTGGTTAACTTGCTAATTGCTTTCGAAACTTGAAGTTAAAGTCTCGTGGTCCACGGAACTCAAAAAATGACGTCTTAGTGAGTTGCATGTGACATGTTATTATCAATTTTGTCGTTCTTATGCTATATACTTTGAACAAAGTGTTAAATACACTCGTTCCCGCTGAGTTAATACATGACTATTGTGTTTCATGACCTCATGCAAACTTCTATTGGTTTGGAGTATAGTAAATGATTCAGCTCATCATTTTTCTGTCCTCTTTGAGCGACCTCATTGTTTTCTCTTCCTCTCAAACCTACTTTGCTCTCCTCCTCGAACATCCTTCAAATAGTTCTGATATTCTTAAAGCTAGACTTGGACGTCAAGTGGATCGATCAAGATATTTCAAGTACTTCGAATGTCTTGTAAATGTAACCATTCGATTCCTTATAATTATTAGAACTAAACTGGACCATCAATTCTACCATAACCTTTTTTATATACATTTAACAAACATTTATAAATAGACCATTTCGATTTGTATACGTAGCTACCGACAATATTTGTGTAAGGGAGAAAATTCGGTCAAGAAATCTTCAGAAAGTTAAGGAATCCACTACCTGAGTCAAAATAGTGAAAAACTAAAGATCAGGAGAAGAGAAAAAAATTAAAACATCAAAAATTAAATTATAATTTGAGAATAAATGATTTTTTATTAATAAATCTTATTTATTCATAAGTAAGGCGTGTTAGAACTTATAATTTAATAATGGAGAATACTGAAAATTTTCTATTCTTAAAAAGAATTGACATAAAAAAAATTATTAATTAGATACATAACTATACAATATCAAGAAATTATAGTCCATAAATTGAATTCGCTCTCTGTTTGAATATAAAAGAAAAAATTATATTTCAAAAGAAATCCACAAACTCGAGATGATAAAATAGATACACTACAATCCAAGCTATGAACATATCAAGTTCAATGCCCAAGTATTATGAAAAAATAAAAAATAATAACTGAAATTTGTAAATATGCTAGAAAATAAAAACCCGACGTGCCAACGTTTAACACTTTGATTTATCAACATACACCACAATCCTAACTTAAACTTTTGATTCATATAAAGCCCAAAATATAAAGATTAACATGTGCTAATCTTTGAAATGCAAAAAATTGATATGAGATGAGAGGCAAATAGAAGTAGTAGTCAGTTTTGATTTTTCTAGGGTTAGAGTCTAAAGTTTTAGACAAATTACTAGTTTTCCAACCTATAAACTGTTAAAAAAAATTATATTAAAAATAAGTTCCCTTCAAATACCTATGGTTCTAGTTCAAGAACCAGAATTAACCCGATTTTGGTCTGTTCTCGTTTCTGATTTTTCATTTACCTTTTTTAGAATTGGACCGAAATGTTCGATTTTGATTCGGAAGGTTCGATTCCAATTAAATAATCAGGCCTATTTAAAAAATTTTCTATTCTTAAAAAGAATTGACATAAAAAAAATTATTAATTAGATACATAACTATACAATATCAAGAAATTATAGTCCATAAATTGAATTCGCCCTCTGTTTGAATATAAAAGAAAAAATTATATTTCAAAAGAAATCCACAAACTCGAGATGATAAAATAGATACACTACAATCCAAGCTATGAACATATCAAGTTCAATGCCCAAGTATTATGAAAAAATAAAAAATAATAACTGAAATTTGTAAATATGCTAGAAAATAAAAACCCGACGTGCCAACGTTTAACACTTTGATTTATCAACATACACCACAATCCTAACTTAAACTTTTGATTCATATAAAGCCCAAAATATAAAGATTAACATGCGCTAATCTTTGAAATGCAAAAAATTGATATGAGATGAGAGGCAAATAGAAGTAGTAGTCAGTTTTGATTTTTCTAGGGTTAGAGTCTAAAGTTTTAGACAAATTACTAGTTTTCCAACCTATAAACTGTTAAAAAAAATTATATTAAAAATAAGTTCCCTTCAAATACCTATGGTTCTAGTTCAAGAACCAGAATTAACCCGATTTTGGTCTGTTCTCGTTTCTGATTTTTCATTTACCTTTTTTAGAATTGGACCGAAATGTTCGATTTTGATTCGGAAGGTTCGATTCCAATTAAATAATCAGGCCTATTTAAACTAGACTTCTCGTGTAGGCAGCCATGTCGAAGCCATTGATTTCTGGCAATAACATGAATTGGTTTTTTCCCTATCCTACATTTTTTGTTAATTTACTTTACCACGGATTATTTTATATTACAACAAATTTTAATTAAAACTTGGACAATTCATTCTATTTCGTCTTCAAAACTCTTGACTCACTCAAAAAACGTAATTATTTATTCGTGTTCTTTAAGATGCCAATACATGTGAAACTTTAACACTTGTCCGTTTTAATATTATATTGAATTATTTTATCAAAATATTACATTGTTGGCAATATAGAATTTCATTTCTATTATTTTGAAAACTCACGGACCAACTCAAGCGGCATTTGAGCATCTTTAAGAAATTCATTAAACATGAAATGTTCTTTATTTTAAAGAGTCAACACTTAAAATTATGTTTTTATATACTGTTTAAATTAATATTTTAATTTAGAGAGTGAGTTTTGGATAGTCAAGTTCACTCTTTATAATTAAATGCATTTAAAGTATTTTAATTTTCAATGTTTGAAAAATAATATAATAATCTAGAGAAAAGTAAGTTAAATTAAAAGATAAAGAAAAGTAATAAATATTTTTTTAAAAATAGTAAAATTAAGTGTTAAATATAAAGAACCTGTCGAAGTACTTTATACCAGTTCAATTGTCTAATTACATATTAATATAACTAAATGGAGTTGTAAATACCAAACATTGATTTCTGGCAATAACATGAATTGGTTTTTTCCCTATCCTACATTTTTGTTAATTTACTTTACCACGGATTATTTTATATTATAACAATATTTAATTAAGACTTGCACAATTCATTCTATTTCATCTTCAAAACTCTCTCTCAAAAAACGTAATTATTTGTTCGTGTTCTTTAAGATGCCAATACATGTGAAACTTTAACACTTGTCCGTTTTAATATTATGTTGAATTATCTTATCAAAATATTACATTGTTGGCAATATAGAATTTCATTTCTATTATTTTGAAAACTCGCGGACCAACTCAAGCGGCATCTGAGCATCTTTAAGAAATTCATCAAATATGAAATGTTCTTTATTTTAAAGAGTTAACACTTAAAATTATGTTTTTATAAACTGTTTAAATTAATATTTTAATTTAGAGAGTGAGTTTTGGATAGTCAAGTTCACTCTTTATAATTAAATGCATTTAAAGTATTTTAATTTTCAATGTTTGAAAAATAATATAATAATCTAGAGAAAAGTAAGTTAAATTAAAAGATAAAGAAAAGTAATAAATATTTTTTTAAAAATAGTAAAATTAAGTGTTAAATATAAAGAACTACTTTATACCAGTTCAATTGTCTAATTACATATTAATATAACTAAATGGAGTTGTAAATACCAATTATTTATGGTCATTTACTAGAAAAGTTCTTCTAGATCTGTTATTCAAGTTTTTGCACTCTCTGGTTGAGTGGTTTTTAAATAAACACACATTTATTGGACTTTGTGAGAAGACAACTATATAATTAATATTTTGTTTGGGTTTGATTCTTCTTATTCTTTCTTTCTTTTTCTTTTAAAAAAAAAAAAATCAATTTCAAAGTTGAGCATTAATTTTAACGACACATTTTGTAGAATTTACAAGTAATATTCATTTATTCACCATTCACTTCTAACGACTTATAATTTTAACAAAAAATGGAACCCCTAACAAATACAAACTTGTATAATATTAGCAAGATAATTAAAACTCTGAAAAACTTAACTTACCAAAAGTAATCACATTCATTTCACAGATTAAATTTTTTTTTACTCTGATATTTTGGTTTTTACGGACCTTGCTACTAAAAATGGTATTCACTTCTTAAAATATCTTATATATGGACAGGTGAAGGGATAAAATTTGTCAAGAGTTATGCAGTTTAACGGTTTGTTTGGTACAGATTTTAAATCAATTAAAATTAATTTTTTAATCGTTATTTCACTATTTTAATCGTTAATTTTGAATTCTTCTCTCACATGTAGGATTCACTTTATCTCTAACGGTCAAAAAATTAATTATCTAAATTTCTACCAAACAAGCACTAAATTTAGAAGAAAGATTTTTATAAATAGTCAAACATAATAGCCAAAGAGCCTCATTATTTCTCATTACATTAAATTAAGTTTTTCTCTCTCATACTTTTAACCATACAATTTTCAATAAAATAATATTACACGTAAATCAAAAGCTTTTCAACCACTCATTTTAAAAAAAAATATTATTCATCGCATTATAATATACAAATAATGAGACTCAAACGGGGGTATAATTGAATTCCATGGACTAGAATTTTATGATTACTTGAGTAGTGGTAGGAGCCAAAGTTCCCTCCTTTTAGGGTACATTACATATTCGAAGCAAGCCGGAGTGGGGGTGGACCTATGACTCCATCATCATCAACCTAGCATCATAGGTACCCTTGTTTCAATTTCAAACCATAAGTTTTGACCAAAATGAGCAAAAAAAT